CAGTTGCCACATTTACACCTATGGACCATTAATATATATTGAAGTATACAATTGAAGTATATTTCCCACAACTTTGTGTAAATTAATGTTTTCTTACGTGAGTAGGATTTCCAATTTGGCAACACAGTCATCTTTACGCCATCTCTCATTGAAGACGTTTCGTGCAATAACGGAAGTGACAATAACATTTTATAAGGAGATCAGTAGCCATTTGTTTTGTTTTACATGGCCATCACATGTTTGTTTTATGTCACAAATATAACCAAAACGTGAATAAATACAATCCAAAACGTACCAGGTGTCAGTTGAGGTTTCACCAGACAATCTAGCAGACAGTGTTTGCTGCTTTTGCTCTCTCTCAGTTATAGTACTCTTCATGTATTGTTTCTCCAGTGGCAAGAGCCGGTTCGACTGAAGTATCATAGGCCTCGCACAAATCCACACTTTTCTCTATATTTATATCACCCCCGCTATCATAAGAAACGTTTTCGGCAAAAGAGAGTTCGCAAGATGATTGTGTTGCAAAATTGGAGCTGTAGCTTTCGTCAGAAGACATAATTTTGAACAAAAAACAGCCTAGTATAAGCCTTTGATAATATTAATTTCTCCTTCGGGAAAGAAGCGTGTTGAGTAGATGACGTCACAGCGCTTAACCGCAGGTAGGATTTTGCAGGCTCCAATAACTTAATGGCGGACGAATTTTTCGTAAAATTTTTTGTTTTTGGACAGTTCTTAAGAGAATTAAAAGTCAAACTGATTGGTTTTATTTTCATATTCGGGTAAGTAAATGTTATTACTGTCTGTTACACATTTAAAATCGAACATGATTTGGGATGATACTGCCCCTTTAATTTACAGTTTAAACATGGACGAATAGACACACATGTATGGGTTGAAAAATCATTTATTTATATTTGTTTGTATTTTTGTCATTTTAATTGAGCGAAAGGTTATTATCACACGCTAAAGGTTTTTTATCCATCGCCGCTTATAAAATATTTCGTGTGAGAAAGAATCAATATTATAAAGAACTGCCGTCTGTATTGAAGTGATGCTAAATGCCAACTTCGAACGACAATTGAAAACCAAGGGCTATTAGTAAAACCAGCAACACCGGAACAACGGAACACCGGAACAGCATCATTCCGGAACACGGAACACCGGAACACTAAAAATTCTTAATTTGTTAAAAATTCGGAAAAAAATTACCGGGGGGGGGTGTGAAATTATTGCTGGAAAAATTATTGCGTAAAACATACTTTTTAATAATATTCTGACTTGCCGATTTCTACTATAAATTAGTATAAAATTACAAACTGAAATCAGTCTCAAATTAACAAATATTTGCCCGAAAAGAAGAAATCAAACCTTGTTATTTGTTGACAATAAATTGCTATCTGACGGGCTTTCTTTGTTATTGAAAACATGACCTTTGGGCTTTGGCCGGCTTTTGGTCAATATTAATAGTGTAACAACAGTTGATTGGTTTCTTGTTTTTACAAACTTATGAAGTTGAAAAGGATCATTTTTTATCACTCGTTAAAAATTTGCGTTTACTTTAGGATCACTTACAATTCTTTAATATACGTAATAGCAACTTGATCGTTTCTCACACAGCACATAAGCAGCGATGGAAGGGAAACTTTTAGCGTGATAATAACCTTTCGCCATTTCGGTCAATAAAAATGACAAAAATACAAACAAATGTAGGCTAGGCCTTGTAAGTCATAGCTTAAATAATATTTCAACGCACGTACGTGTCTCTATTTGTCTATTTCTGTGTTTAACGACTGAAAATTAAACTGACACTCATTTACGTTAGGGAACTTTTTATACATTTGGAGAGTTAGTACAAGTAAATATCTCACGACTCTAGTCTCTATCCGCGTTTTCGCTTCCCCTGAGTCTGAGATTCATAGTATGCTATGCCATACTAGCCGGCCTACAATATATTTATAAAAGGTGACACGCGACGCGGTATATTTCGAGGTACTGATATATAGCACGAAAGATTATCAGGCTACATTGCATATACTAAATTATGCCCTTATAGGATTGTATTTGAATTTGATTAATTTGTATAAATAGAACGAATATTAATATCTCGGTCCTCATGACCTCATCACAGAATGCTAAATTAATAATCTTCATTATTTTTAAATTTTGTTTTCCATACTTATATACTCAATGAGCGGAAGTTGAAATTTGAAAATGGCACAGCTGCTTTTCAAATGCAAGTTGTAAATTCAATTTATTGTTGTATCTATACCCAGTCGCGTGTGACCTTACATATGTTTGCTATACCATTCTTGCCGGCCCACAATGAATCTCATGCAGGGCAAGCGAAAACTTGGATAGAGTCATAGAACACTACTCGTACTAAATTTCCAAGAGAACAAAATTCCCCACTGAATTGAGGATCAGTTAATAAATTTTAAACATAGTGAAAAAGACAAATAGACACACATGCGTTGAAATATTATTTAAGCTATGACTTACAAGGCCTACATTTGCTTGTATTTTTGTCATTTTTATTGACCGAAACGGCGAAAGGTTTATATTATCACGCTAAAAGTTTCCCTTCCATCGCTGCTTATGTGTTGTCTGAAAACGATCAAGTTGCTATTACGTAATATATTAAAGAATTGTAAGTGATCCTAAAGTAAACGCAAACTTTTAACGAATGATAAAAATTATCCTTTTCAACTTCATTAGTAAGTTTGTAAAAACAAGGAAGCCAATCAACTGTGGTTACACTATTAATATTGACCAAAAGCCGGCCAAAGCCCAAAGGTAATATCTTCAATAACAAACAAAGTCAGATAGCCATTTATTGTCAACAAATAACAAAGTTTGATTTCTTCCTTTTGGGCAAATATTTGTTAATTTGAGGCTGATTTCAGTTCGTAATTTATAGTAGGAATCGGCAAGTCAGAATATTATTGAAAAGCATGTTTTACGCAATAATTTTCCCAGGAATAATTTCACCCCCGCCCGGTAATTTTTTTCAGAATTTTTAACAAATTAAGAATTTTTAGTGTTCCGGTGTTCCGTGTTCCGGAGATGCTGTTCCGGTGTTCCGGTGTCCCGTGTTCCGGTGTTCCGTTGTTCCGGTGTTCCTGGTTTTACTAACAGCCAAAACCAAGGAAGCCCGAATCAACTGTTGTTACTTTAATATTTTTTATTGACATGTTTTCAACAGCAAAGAAAGATGGGCCATTTATTCTCAACAAATAACAATTCTAGGTTTGATTTCTATTTCTCGGGCAAATATTTATTACTTTGAGGCTGATTTCTGCGAGAATTTTTGTTCGTTATTAGTAGCTATCGTCAGCCAAGTCAGAAAATTAAAAAGGCATACGTTTTACGCAATAATTATTGCAGCAATACTTTCACACCCCCCGGTATTTTGTTCCGAATTTTTAACAAATCAAGAATTTTTAGTGTTCCGGTCAACCTCGTTCCCAGGGCTTTTCCCTTTTTGTAATTGGGAAGGCGGGAAAAGGCCCTGACACCAGCCGGTCTTCTATGTATTCTGATTGGTCAAAGACAAGTACATTATTATGCAAATAATGCAATCTTGGATTAATTTATTCAAACTTTGGGATAAATTAACTTTTCATGCAAGGAGTGACCATTATATACTTTGTCCGTCTAAGAAATATTTTTGGCAAAATCTGTGGCAAAATGTTAAATTCGATAAGATTTATACACAATTTGTCGAGGGTTAGTATTATTGTTTGTTTTAAACTGTGAGAGAAGATTAATTGTGTACTAGAACACACCTCTGAGGCTCTGACCGAGTATTTAGGGCAAAATTATGTGCCTTCATTGGCTTCGTATAGCGTTAATGTTTATATTTATAAAACTAAAGTCTGGGTTTTATAAACTGAAACATGACCTTTAGTTTTTGATATTCTTCATAGTCGAGTTTAAATTGGCCTAATTTATAGTTAGTTACCACTAGAAATGCGACGATATTTTGTTATATCATATATGCAACAGTGTTTACAACTTTTGAATAATATGTGATTTGGTTTTGTTTCAGATACTATTACATGTTGCTTCATTTTACCATAAATCGTGTTAAAAAAGTGATTTGCTCATTTGGCTGATGTTACAGTTTTTTTATGTGTTTTGTTTGGATGATATTAGAACAATTCAATATGAAAGTGCAGGTGTTTTTATAGACATGAGCCATAATGTATATATCAAAATACTGATAAAACCGTTTCCAGCTTGATTGTATTTGCATTTGTTGTATTTGCATTGTTGTAGACAAAGTTGTGCAATGGTGGGCTTATGTCACATATTCGTATGTAATTCCATGTGCCTGCATGTACAGAACTTTGATGCCTCAAGAGATGCTTCGAATGTGTAATAAAGGGCTGTTCGCAGGAGTTGAGCTGTCTGGCCTTAAATTGCATTGTTTTTATGATATTTTAAGATTGTATTCATATGGCTGGACCATCTTGCAATTGCCACAATGTCTGATGTTCAAATAGGCTTTAAAATCAGGTTACAATGCATGCTTGAAAATATGCAACAATTTCACTGCTAATAATATTCCAGAAAATCCTTCCTCTTGGGCAGATCTGGACTGATTTGTCAGAGGGGGTGGAGGTTTTCTACTTGTGATCGGGCAAGGGGAGCTAGCCAAGGGTGCTGGGTCAGAGTCAAACTCATGTGAACAGCTTCTAAGTCCTAACTATATTGATAAATTATGTACACTTTGGGATGGTAATGCAATTTGTAAAATATTCCACATTTTATTAAAATTTAATTATATGTTTGCGATGTTACTCTGAGTGCATATCCACACCGGGCGAGCTTGAAAAATATGCCCGGCCACGGTGGGATTCGAACCTACGACCTTTGGAATACTAGCCCAATGCTCTTCCAATGCTTTCTTTGTTTTTACGAAATGCAATATTCATCTCTTTCTGGGCATGGAGTGGGTTAAAACATTGAAATGGATGGGGTAAAGTATCATGACAAACTTTTGCTTGCTTGTGTTGAGCTTTACGGTAAAGGTTTTGATGTAATTGTACTTGCTCAAGTTGTTCAACAGCTTCACAAGCCATATCTGAGGCTGTTTCGGATGCTGCTTGTGAGAAGTCAGCTTTGTGTTCACCAGTCATTGGTGTGATGTCGGCAATCACACCAACAGGTAAAGTCTCGGTATGCTTGCTTTGGTTATATACAGCAAGGTTGACATAAAACTTCTGCTCTGGTTCAATTTCTACATTGTTGGGTTCTTCAAGAAACTTGCTACTACTGCATTTAACATTGACAAAAGCGGTCTTAAATGCATTAGTCTTGTGCTGTATTTGATCAAGGTTAATCGGACCAGGAATAACATGTGCATATGTAGTGGTAAAAAGAGGGCTAGCTTCAATCCAACTTCGATTACCCAAAGACTGTATTGTGTCGGCTATCATACTAGACAAGGCAGGTGAAAGGATCATATTGCCAATAGTAGCAACAATTACACAAACTTTGATAATGTTAATCTCAGGTGATAGTTTTTGAGGGGTTTCTACTACTGTACTCAAGGATACGACATTGGTTTCGACTCTTCCAGAAGGACGGACAGGAGGTTCCCGTGGGCACTTTATAGCACATTTCATTTGGGGATGTGTAAAACTTACAATTCGTTCTTGGTGTTTAACAATTGCATCTGTGGCTTCCAAATGATTGTTACCAAACAAAACATGCCAAGCTAACTTGGGTACAACCAACATGGTATGTACTGAAGATTTCCCAGGGCCCCAGGTAATAGGAATATCTTGTAGGGCAATCCCTTGTAAAACAGCAACTTCATTAGCAACATTAATTGCAACTGGCTTGGTAAGCTTAGTCATTTTCAAGTCTGGATGCATTTGTTGGACACGTTCAACATGGATCAAACTACAAAGCGACACTGAGCAACAACTGTCAAGAGGCAGTGAAAGTTCAACACCGGCTGATTTTACTTTCGCCCACATTATATACTTTTTGTTCAAGTCAGGAATTTCAACAGAATCAGCTGCAACGGATGGCATGCCAAATAGGGGATAATCACTGGCTGGTGGGTTATTGTCAGCAGGGGTGGTGGGTGGGGTAGGGGGTTTTGGATTTGGAAGTACAGTTTCCAATTTAGAGCAAAGACTATCAAATTGTGCCTGAAACTTACTTGATAGCTTTTCTTCCAGTTGACTTTGTGTAGGCAACTTATCTTCTTTGTGCAACAGTTGTTTACATCCCTTCTTTTTGCAAACCAGACACACATGTTGTCGATGAAACTTGCATTGATTATCAGGAAGTAAGCAGCGAGGAACAGCTCGTTGATTCCACTGGAGTAGTATGGTAGTATTTCCACGAAATGTTTGTTTTCGTTCTTGGTTTTTCCCAGGATTGTACAAAGCAGGACAGTTTCTTTTGAAATGACCAGGTTGATTACAGTTGTAACAGGATTTGGGTTTTAACATAGCTTTGTCTTCACGAAATGGGTCAACATATTCTGCTGAAAGGAGAGGTAATGGGGGAAAACTTTGTTCAAATCTGTTAGCAGCTTCAATAACTTCCGACAGAGAAGCATACTTGGCGTCTCGGCTCATCAGAGCTTTCTCAATTTCCGGTCGAAGTTTTATCAAAAATGCATGTCTCAGTTCGATATCATCATTCGTGCCTGTATAGTGTATTCCAGGAATACATTTCTCGAGTTCGTGTTGAATGTCACAGAATCGATGTGCAAAAGTTGAAACAGGTTCTGCTCTACTTTGTTGGAGGTTGTAGTAGACTTGAAGTAATTCACGTATACGTTCATCTTTAGGTTTTCCACGTTTCTTAACTAACGATGCTTTGACAAGGTTAAAGTACGTTTCATACTGTTCGATAGTAATATTGGCAGGGTCCTCTCCAAGAGCATGTTTACATTCTTCTTCAGCAAACACAACAGAATCATAAGCACGTAAATCTTGCTGCACCTGTTGCTTAAGATAGGTTGTCCAATGTTTAGCTGGAACTCCAGAAGATTTTAATAGCGTCGTAAGCTGGTCAAGAAAACGGTCAAGTTGTTCGTCAGGCTTACCTGTATAGCGAGGTAAAACCACTTGAGGCAACTTCAAAGTGTCAACATGGCTTGAACTTGGGGAATTTGTGGCTAAATCTGCGACAGTTTTCGCGAGTGCTTCGATGTGTTGTCGATTTGCTTCTTGGGCATCGTGTTGGTTTGTTAGCTGGGACTTTACCACGTCAGCTAGTCCTTTAACGATCCCTGTGAGTTCCTCAACTGTCGTCATACTGTATTTAGTTCTTGTTACAAACGATGTAGAAAATCCTCTAAAATTCTGTTAAAACGATTTGCATCCTCCACCAATTGTAGTAGTCAGTGTATATAAACATATACTTTAATATCAAACAACAATATAAACGTTACATGAACAAAAACACGAATCAAATATGGTTTTTCTTCTACGACATTATCCTATAAACTAGCGGCCATTTAGTCCATGTGCTCTCTACCTGTTCGCAGGTTGTACCTCCCTAAAATCCTACTACATCCCTGTTGCATGGATGGCTTTACTGGGGGGGGGGGCTGTGCACTCCCCTAGCCCTGGCCAGAGGGGGGTGCAGAGGGGGGTGCTATTTTTCATGATAAAGCCAAAAATTATTACAGGAAAAATGAGATACAGTAATTTGAGTAATAACATGATGATAAGCGAGCTGCGAACAACAATTACAATTCAAATACAGTAGTAAAGCAAGACCTTGCAGTAGTGAAGCAAGTTGATGGGCAGGCAGCACACATGACCGACACAAATCGGCACCAGAGCTGGCAGAGCACCCCCCCCCCCCTACCAGATCATGCTGGACCATCCCTGTGTTGCAAAATGTATTTTCTTCATAGTCAGGCATTCACATGAATGAAGATTAGAATTGCATCATGTTATATAGTCTTAAATATTTAGGAGGGGCCTCCATTATTAAATTAAGAGATTAAAAAGGGGTCCCATGACATTTTGACATAAGAATCTCCCACCCCACCCTAGGGTATAATGAATGGTCACTTAAAGTACATGCCGTCTTCTAACTGGTTGGGCACCTTGCCCCTTTTGTGATGGAAAATCTATTCCCTACCTTTATCCCCTGGGACAAAAAATTCAAATCAACTCTCCACCCTGATAATGTGCAGTTGGTAACAGCAAGAATTGAAGCAAGCAAGCTTTACTGGAGTACATACGCTCATGCTAATTTGCCAGTCATGATTTTAAACGTAATATTTCTTATCTCGTATAGAATTCTTAAGGTCTTGTTTACATTTTACGGGAAGCGAACTAAGATGCATATCCAATATTTGGGTCATATCACTCATATGTCAGTTTTGCAGCTTGCCAGCTTCAACAACATTTGGCTGCAAGGAAAACGTAAACAAAGAAAGAGCATATAACACTTCGTCTGTGTTTAAAATATCAATGAATAAGTATTCCAACCATTGGCACTTTATAATATAAGTGACATTCAACAATAGATCAATAACATATACAGTATATGCAAAAACATTTCTTTGAATCACTGTATAAAATATTCCTCATACACTCGCTCCAATCGTCGCACAGCAGAGTCTTTGGAAGGGTAAAACCAAGTTTAACATCCCCAGTTCAAAACACTTTCCGTGTCCTCTTAAGCAAGCCTGTCCAGCTGGAGAACATCTGTCGTAATACTATTATATTTTGGCTGTTTAATAATTTTGTTTAGCGAACGAACGATATTTACCAAACCCAGTTGGAAGAACAGCAACTAGATAGTTCCCATGTAATAAAAGCTGAAAAATCTGATTTCGAGTACGTTGGTAGCAAAAAGAAGGAAAAATTTCCAAAGACTAAACGCATTTTTAAGCCGCTCTAAGCACTTAAATTTTGTGGACACTCTTAGGTTGGCGGCCATCTTGGATTTTCTAATTCATTATTATTATAATTTATTACACCCACTATATCTGGGTGTTGAAAGTCATGTGACCGGCCGGTGCCAGGGCCTTTTCTCGCCTTCCCAATGACAAAAAGGGAAAAGCCCTGGGAACGAGGTTGTGTTCCGGTGTACCGTGTTCCGGAATGATGCTGTTCCGGTGTTCCGTGTGCCGGTGTTCCGTTGTTCCGCTGTTCCTGGTTTTACTAATAGCCGTCCAAAACCGCATAAAAGAAAAAAATGAGTATATGTATACCAATACCATACAGAACCATTATTAAATTTATTATCAAGTCTGAATATACAATTCAACTATTTCAACTTCAGCGATATTTATAAACAAACGTGACCTTAAAGGGTATGGGCAACAAAAATTGCTTCATCTATCTTATTGCTTCGTCTGAAAGAGCATTAAAAAATAAGCCGATTGGCCGTTTAATGCTCTATTCTATCTCATCTAGTTCCGAAGTTATACGCAAAAATGTGCAAAATATAAATTGCTGATTCAGCACAACGTGTGACGTCATTAGCTGGGTAAGTATGTTTAGTGAATAATACACTGAAGCATAGCTCAGTTATTATGGGCCCAAATTAAATGAAATTTTGGATACTGATTGTACATGATGAGACGCATGGAAAAACACTTCTAATTTTGTTGCCAAGGTAACAATGTCATTCCAAGGCCCCTTGCGCCAATTTTATATAACAGCTTTATTCAAGGTACTGATAAAAATAAAATAATATCAGAAGTATATGTACGATACCTATGCATGCCGAAAGTTTACTTGCATGATAATAATTCGAAAATGACATACACATAGAGAAATGCAACTAGTTATTCAAAATCAGTGTAAGGGGCCTGGGAACGACTGTGTTGCCTTGACAACGAAATTAGAAGTATTTTCCCATGCGTCTCATCATGTACTATCTGCATGCAAAATTTCATTTGATTTGAGATAATAATAACTCAGCTATGCTTTAGTTTACTATTCAATAAACATACTTACCCAGTTTATGATGTCACACATTGTGCTGAATCAGCAATTTATATTTTGCACATTTTTGCGTATAACTTCGGAACCAGATGAGATCGAATAGAGCAGTAAACGGCCAATCGGCTTATTTTTTCATCCTCTTTCATATGAAGCAATAAAATCAATCAAATTTTTTGTTGCCCATACCCTTTAACTCGGTTTCGACCTGGTTATTTGGAGGTTCGTATCTTTGGTTCAATATATGCTATGTGGATGAACATACCACCGTTCGATTCAATACAAAAATATCTCCTAATTTCTATCGATAGTTTTAGTGAAATGTCAAAACTATAGCGATTTATGGCCTTTGAAAGTCAAGCGGGATTGTATATTATCAAATCACGCAATATTTATACTTTATAAATATAAACTAGGCATACCTTTCGCCGAATATAACTTCGGCTCCTTGGGACGCATCCTCTTTTTATTAGTCTTGTTCGAAAGAGAATTCAAAACACTATTTTATAGAGTGTTATTTTTGAGCTTGTATCTTGAAAACAGCATCTTTTATTACGGTATTTCCATTTCTGCTCTGATCGTGAACTAATTCCCGAACTTCAGCATGTGACAGGCGCGTGCGACTGGGCGAGTAAAACCCGATATTTTGAAAAATTAAAAATAAATATTTCTACTGGCCGTATTCAAACGAAATTTTCTACACGAAAGCGCTTGAATACAAGGAGTATTCTACTTCTTTGACTTGTGGCCGTTTTGGACACATTTCTAAAAATACAATTGTCAAATATAAATTTAAATATAAGTTTCTTCGCTTGCAACCAAAACCTGTTGTTAAATACGTTGTTTCCTTGCATTGTTTTATAGTGTAGTGGAGATCTTGTCTAGAAAAATAGCAGATGTTTTCTCCCAAACTGGACATAACACTTTCTTATTTCGTAGAGCTAGTAAATAATCTCTTTGTCAGCTTGTTGCAGTATTGTAAAGAGATATTTTCTCAGTCATTTTGACTTGAATTTTGCGTTTGATAATTATACGCCCCCCCCGGTTTACCGCCATATTGGGTGTGGCATAGTGCAGAGGCTTCGCGCCTTCATAGCCAATTAAAGCCTCTGCGGAGGAGTGAGGAAGAGAACAGAGGCGATCAGCCTGGGAATTTGAGAGAAAAGAATTTGACGAATTAGCTTATTCAAACGAAATAAGTCAGGAAAAATTTTGGAGATTGCTAAATAACAGAGCACGTACAAAAAAAAAAGCAAAATAACAGTTTTGGAAAAGGATACAAGGTGTACAATGATCCACAAGTAGTAACTGATCTTTGGGCTGATTATCATGAAAAATGAGCGACACCTTCCAAAGATAAACAATTTGACGAAATGAACGAGAAAGTTATGGAAATTTTACAATGCTCGGAGTTTAATTTAAGCATGATTATATATTCAGTACCCCGATAACCACGGAAGAAATAGATACAACTGTGAAGAGCTTAACAAATTGCAAAGCACCAGGAATCGATGGAATTAGTTATGAGCACATAAAGTACGGAGGTAAAGTCGTTATTGATGCCACATTGAGACTTTTTAATTTGATTATTGAGTCTGAAAAAATCTTCTTTGTTTCAAATTGGCAATTAAATTCCCGATCCCAGAAGGAAATAAAAATTGCCGATCATTTGACGGCCATCGAGGGATAAGTTTACTACCGAGTATAAATAAAATTCTTGAACGAATTGTTTTATTAAGACTATTAAGGGAACCGAAATATCTACATCACCCCCTCCAGGAGGGTTATCAAAAGCAGCAAGATACTTTAACATGTTTCACGATTGAAGAAGTTGTTAAACCAATATTTGGAAGAAAAGGAAAAAGTCTTTGTTGCTTACATGGATATTAGCAAAGCAAACACAATTTTCAAATTGTATCATAACAAAGGTATCTGTGGTAAAGGCTGGCGACTTATTAGAGACTGCTATATTGATATGGCAGAGTTTGTGCGTATTGAAGGGAAAGTTCTCGAACATACATTATTATTCAACAAGGAACAAGGCAAGGGGTGTTCTCTTGCCATGGCTTTTCCTGGTTTTCATTGATGACCAGATTGAGGAGTTACAGCATACGAACGCCGGGATTTTTCTGAATACTGTTTATCTTGGATCGTTTGTTTGCAAAAGACTTGACTAAGCTTTTGCGAAAGGAATCAGGGCTGGACAAAATGTTACAGACTTCTTGGGAATGTAGTAACAAATGGCAATTGACGTTTAATATTAAGAAAACTGTTGTTCTAACTTATGGTGAGAAGCAAGAAGAGCACGGTACAAATTGGAGCTGTTAGAAAATGGAAACTTGGCTCACTGGACATAAGTGAAAAGGATACATGGTCAAATTTGGGGAAAATCTGGGATATAAACAAACATCCTTCAGCAGCTGTTTTAAGCGCAGTCGGTAGAGGAAGGGAGGCATGCTTCTTCCTGATGAGTCTTGGATCTCTGTATGGTGGATTGAATCCTATCATTGCATGCTGTCTATGGAAGCGGATTGGTATTCCTAAATTTCTTTACGGATTCGAACTTTGGAAGTTGAGAAAAAAACGATCTTATTTAGTTGGAACGGGTTCAAACTATTTATATTCGTATTATGCAGGGCCTCCACCTTGGCACATCTGCTCGGTAGCAAGGGTACTCTTGGGAATGTTATCAATCGAAGCCGACATTGATAGGCGTAAACTTTATTTCCTGGGAAGGCTGATAAATATTAGTGCTGGTGTACTATGCCGACGTGTTTTGTTCATCAGATTGGCTCGTTGGAAATGGAATCATAGGAACAGCATGACCGGCTTTGTTCCGGAGATAGTGAGTGTTTTGACAAAATATGACCTTTTGGATTATTTGATGGAATTTGTCTCAACAAACTGTTTTCCGACAAAGAAGAATTGGAAGAAAATTGTTAACCGGCGTGAATATGAAAAACACAATTGCGTTTGGCAAGAGAAAATTAATAGAAACAAACAGTTATATGTCTATTCACAGGTCAATACCAACAACAAAATTTCTGAATGGTGGCTTCTCGCAAAAGAGTATCCCAAGAACCGTCTTGAAATAACTAATGTCATAAGATTGCTCTGTGGATCATATAAGATCATGGGAAAACGTGTTTGTAACCCAGTTGTATAGACAGACTTTTGCGAAATGTGTCAAAAAGGTTATGTTAACCCTGTAAATCAGGCCTTGTTGTACTGTTTAGCCTCACACAATGAGAGGGAGAACCTGTGGAACTGGATAGTGGATGATTTTGAAATTGAATCAGCAGTAAATTTAGTAGCCTTATCTGACTCAGATTTTATATTGACTATACTAGGACAAAATAGAGAGACATTGGGCTTAGACAACAAACTGAGAAACGAATCTTTACTAAAATCTGCAAACTATATCTCATATTGCTTTAATAGAACCGTTATTTCAATATAGCTATAGCAACTGAAATTATACTAATTAAGTAATTCTAATTAATTCTAATTAATTTTGTAATTAATTTTTTTTTTATTCTGTAAAAATACTCTTCAGAAATTGGAGGAAATAATGTTTTTAAACTCACTCACTCAATTACTGACTCACTCACTCACTCACACACACACACACAAAATTGCATTTTCATAAGCAGTATCTTAGACTTTTCCATCCGCATACATTGTAAAGGCATTACTTAATTAGAGTAATCATTAGAAATCATTATATTTTCAACCAGTCAAAATCAACTGCTCAGATCTTGGTAACTGAGCCGAGAGTCGACCAGCAATGCAATGGGTTTCACATACTGTTTTCTAAGCACATACAGTCTTTGCACCCAGACAAAATAGTTGGACTCACCTTGAGGTGGGAAAACTTTAATATCAGCATTTCCTTCATCACTTAATACAGCTGTAATAGAAGCAATGGTAGAATCACATTGAACACTGTAAGATTTCATCGTTAAGTGATTAGTATTGGCATCGACAGAGAGCAGTGTGACGTCTCGTAACAATGACGAATTTCCTTCAGAAACATTTGCTGGACGAAGAAGCTTGATAATTTTGTTAATGTCAGACTTTGAATACTCTATGCGTTGTCCTCCAGTTGCGCTGGCTACTTTTTCATACACTTCTCGCTCTGTTAAACTTCTTCGTCTACGGCTACCGCAGTGGCCACTGATAAACAGATAAATTCTACATTCTTTTTGCAATGCGATTGATATCACAGAAAATATTAGATGGGCATCTTTGACTCCCGCGTCAGTGAAATAATACACATCAGAATTAGGTAGACTGTTAAGAATAGCTAAATAAAGACCAGTCATGCCCAATTCTGGGCAATCGTCACCACCATAAGCTCGGAGAGAGTTCACTGTTCGTTTTGCCACTTCAGGGTCACCTGTTATATAGACTGGACCAACGTCTATAAGGCATAAAGTGGGAGAAAAGTTACTTTTAAAATAGGAAAACGTGTTGTTTGAGTAAAATGTAGAGCGTTTTAACTGTTGAACTGTTTGGATAGTATATGGAAGTTTTTGTACCTTATGTGCGATAGGTTCGCTCTTTCTTTTGATTAGAACAAGTCTGTCATTCCGATAAACTTGCACATTCTTTCCCAAAGTCATTGTTTAGGGCATTTAGTATAAATACAGTAAGCTGACAAGATCGCATAATTCCGCAATGTTATAACGTCATAACGATACATCATTTGTTTCTATCGGGATGGCAGACTTGTTTTAATTTAACGTATTGCAGATAAGGTGCGAACACTTCAAATTGAAAATCACGGCCAAACTAAATCACCAATTTTAGACCTGACACTGAAGCTAACACACGAACAGAGCCGTAGCGAAGATGATATAGAAGGGGGTGGGGTGTAGTATCGCATTTATCGACAACATTTCAGTCGCTAATTAATATTTCCCCCAAAATTGTTGGCAAGTGGAGAGAAGGTCGGAATTTTTTTCGGACTTTTCCCAGATATACAGGGCTGTAGAACTGGGGAGGGGAACTGCAACCCCCCCCCGCCCCAATAATTTGCTAATAATCTTTTTTTTGCAAAATCATGCAGACTTCAAATTTATGCAGGATATAACGCTGTTTTTGACCATAGAATTCTGTCAAATCTTCCCTAAAGTCCAGGAAATGACATTTCATAGACTTTTTAAATTTAGAAATTTAAAAACTTCCCCTATAAAATCTCGCGCCTGCGGCGTTCGACTCGGGGCTTTGGCCCTCATTTTCAGCCCCCCCCCTCTCCAACCAATAAGAGCTTCCTACGGCACTGACGTACCGTAAATGTTTCGGACATACGAAAATGTTTTCGGACATATCATAATTTGTTACATTTTTTCGGTAATTTTCGTAAATTTTTGTTATAACTATTACTTTTCTAATTCGATCCACTCAAATATTTTCGCTGACATGACTGCGAAAACAATTTTCCGATAAATCCGTTATTTTGCCGACAGGACGTTTTCGTGGGTGCCTCACCCTCCCCACTCCCCCCCCCCATAACAACCGAGCAATGAACCCTTTTAAATTGACAGCCGTTCGAATTTTTGCACTATACGTATTGCTTCGTTGCACATTTGGATTTTTATGAAATTCTATCCGTCAAAATCTTAACCACGCATATCCTAATCATAGCTGACGTAACCCAAATTTTCGTAATGAGGCGGACGGAATTAAATGGGCCAATTGCGGAATTGCAAAGCATCATGGTAGTTTAGTTACACAGCAGAATTTTTGCAACATGGCGCTTATACTTTTCGAACGAGTGAAGGTGCTACACACATGATAATTGCAAGAAAACTATTATCGCTTTGATTAGATTTTACTATATCTGTACGGCTTGTTTCATAATTCTACTGCGTCTTGGGCTTGTGCGAGCGAGTGTGGTTGAACATTCATGGCGTACAGAGTCACCGAAGCGAGGAAGGAGTTCGATTCGCAGTAGTCAGGAAAACATTTTTGAATATTTCACAATATAAAGGTGAGTACTGCATTAAATTATTTTCTAAGTAAGAAACACGTTGTGACTTATTGTTTGCCTAAAAATTTCAACGATTACCTAAAAATTTCAACAATGGGTTTAATTCTAGCGACTGGAGAGACAAAAATGTTTCGACACTTGACCGTCCCGAAACAACAGATGTTTGATCAACCGCTCTTTTCACAACCACTAAACATTTGAGGTTGTTTAGCGTGAAAAATAAAACATTTGCTGAACAGAAGGAATGCATGACTAATTGTTGTAGTGAATATGAACAATTTGAATTACAAATGAGTTGTGTGAAAAAGCAGTACGTATAGTTTTTGTAATATATTCAAGTAAATCAGTTCAGTCGAGTCGATCGTTTATCGTTTTGTATAGTTATTTTCGCTTCGTACCATTTATTGGTAGCAGGAAATGGTTTCCTAGTTAACTTCGTTTAGTTTCGAGGAGAGAAACCGTTAGATAAATTAGTTGCCGAGTCGAGTGATGGAAACGGGAAGGTCGGCAGAGCTTAGCGGCAGACGAACGTTTAGACAGTCTAAAATATCGAAAGGCTTTGGCTAAAACTGCCTTTACGAAAGCAAAAAACCAAGTTTTGCGTTTATTAGAAGAAGAATGCATCGAGATATCGGATCGAAATCGAGTAAAAGGAGCCTGTGAAAAGCTAACTAATAAGATGGATCATGATTTTAGTGAAGGTATAAATCGAGCTCAGCAGTATTTAGATAACACTTTTACAGATGTGTTCAGCCACGTAAATTTGTCGAGAGTAAAGCCAACGTCTAGAATCCAACTGGGTGAAGGCTATAGACAATCAGACACTAAACAAGCCGAAGTGCTTCAATACTCAAAAGAGGAGATTGAGATACAAACAGTGTTAGCAGAGAAAGAACTTTCTCGGCAAATAAAAGCGCTCGAAGAACAAGTGCAACAAAGAAGGGTACGTTTAAAGGAACATGAAAACGCTACAAGATACGATCGCAACAACCTGTTAATCCTGTTAATCTCGAGGTTAAACTTAACACAATGTCAAAATCAATCAAGAAAGAGGTCGAAAGTTCATCGAGCAGCGATGGGGCAAAATACCAAAGACAAAGTGCACCTAAACCAAAGTTAGAACCATCCCCATGTGAAATCGGCGCTGATCTCTGGAAGCAACTGAGACGCGTTGCCATACCCTATGTTCAATGGCTATAAAAGTGATTATGAGAGCTGGAAATCAGCTTTTACTGCGTGTATTGATAAAGCACCAGCAACGCCGGAATTTAAACTTCTTCAACTGAGACAATGTCTGTCTGGCGAAGCATTAAGAACAATTCAGAATTTGGACATTCAGAAGCATCCTACGAAGCAGCAATGGCAAGATTAGAGCGAAAGTTTGAGGGACAACGACGAAAAATCGCGTTATATCTTGAACAACTCGAACGATTGAAACCCATGCAAGACAAGAACCCAAAAGAGTTGAAGAAAATCGCAGAGATTTTCAATATCGTGGTTGTTAACCTAAAAGAAGCTGATTGCGACGAAGAATTGGGCAACGTACTGTGTTCTTTACGTAACCTTACAGAAAAAAACTCTCTGAATCTTTACTTGTTCGATTTCATCGCTGGCCTGGATCTATGAAAATAGAAAAATGGAATCGGTTTAGCTGTGCGAGATTGGATGTTACAAGAAGTAGAGTTCCTGACAACAGCATCTGAGACAATTCATGGTTACACATATCGCTTAGAAACGAGAAGAAAGAAGATTTATCATGATCGAAGTTAGAATCAAAAGTCTGTCCAACTTGTGATGGTCGACATGGAGTGTAGAGCTGCAAAAAATTTCGAAAATTAAAGTCATGGGAAAGATAGAATGTAGCAAAACAGTTCAAGTTGTGTTTTAGATGTTTAGATCATGATCACGTTGGAAGTTCATGCAGAGCAACGAGAGTTTGTGGAAAGGATCGCTGTCAAAAAACACACCATGAATATTGTGCATACAACGTTCAACTGGAACGATTCCAGCCGAAAACAGTTAGAGAAAAAACAATATATCTACCAACCAAAAGCTTTCAAAAAGTTGCTAGAACTACTTGCAGCGCCACCCAAACAGACGTCAAAGTGGAGCCTAGAAAAGATTATAACCAAGGTGGCAACAACATTCGGTCCCACACAACAAGAAAACAACAAACATCTGAAAATCGGAAAGAATTTAGAGCATTACGAACAGTAGCTGTAGTTCTCAAAAATGGAAATCGCGAAGTTACAATGAATGCTTTATTGGACGATGCGACTAAATTGGAATTGGGACTAAATGTGAAATTTCAAAAAGCGACAGTGAACGTGTTAAACGGACAAGTGAAAACGTTTGTAACCAGCCATAAATAAGTAATTTCTCAATTTACATTGCTGATCTATACATCTAATTAAAGGTAAAGATCTGGTTCGTCTAGTTGTCGTATTTTTAAATTGGTGTAAATTCATTGAAAGAAGTTGCGTTTGATTATCAAGTATCAAGTTGCAGTGTCATTCGCTACAAACCGGGAATCTTGGTTTATGTATAAAATATCTCCGTCGTCTTGCTGCTATTCGCTTGAAACTTTCTAAGTGAACTATAAATTGTGTTCCTGTTTTCGTGAGTAAATTTTGAATAATTTGGATGTACTGTGCGTGATTTATTGTATTTTTAACATTTTGACCGTTGAACTTAATTTCAAATTTTGTCTGGCGTCGTCTTCCATAGCAACAACCTTACGGCGTTGTATCTTGGTTTTGGGCCTTTAAAGTGAACTTTATATTTTAGATTTGTGTTTATCTCATAACAGCAACATTTTAATTTACGTTTTATTTCTATTGACGCAATATTCGTGATTCATCTAAAGTCTCATGGTTGCTACGTGGCGTGGATATATATACTGGTCTCAAATTCAGGGATTTCCCCTCATTTACAAACCGCATCCGTGTTAACTAATCTGGTGTATCTGTCCTTGTGACAATCTTGCATACTTCTACCGGATCATAAATTGATCGCCTAGACGCTAACTTACATTCTATTACTCTCGTGTATTGTCAACGTCTGCATTTGTAGAATTTATGCCTTGACCCTGTTGATAAATTTGACAAACGTAGACGAAACTGATTCATATGCAATGCTGTTAAACTATGACTATGATCGGACGGCTACTTTTCGTTTATGTTATTTCCTGGTTATATATTACAAATAACTTTCCACTTGTTAAAACCAACAAAAGCACTCCAAAACCAGCAAAAGACATTTTCCACATTAGTTCAAATCTCGCAATCCTTCCTGAGCAACAATGCTGCATCTGGGTTTCTACACGAGATATCAAATTAAGAAAGCTAAACTTGTCGACCAACTATCGTTATGGTTTGGACCTGCAAACAAATCGGAAAAACTCTCACACCTTTATTTGTATTCTGCTTGCTGGTGACATTGCGATAAATCCAGGCCCTTTCAATGTACGTCCCATTAAAAACGAGAAAGGTCTCTCTTTTTGTCACTGGAATATCCAACGGCTTACGGACTCAAAGTTCGAGGAAATTGGTCTTAGCCTTAGGTCCAAACACGAGAATACATTTCAGCTTGATGTTCTGATTCTAACCGAGACCTTCAGCAATGAGAACATTCCTGATTCTTACTACAAAATACCTGAGTATGTTATGTATAGAAAGGACAGAAAAGGAAAGGTTGGTGGTGGAAGTATGATATATGTAAATAAGAGCGTCGAAGCAAAGCGCAGAATGGATCTGGAATCAAAAGATATTGAATCTATATGGATTGAAATTTGTCCGCACAAATCTAAGCGACCATTGCTAGTATCTGGTGTTTACCGTCCACCGTCTGCCAAAAAAGAATATAACATAATTTTGGGAAAGAATATCGAGAATGCATATTTGGAAAATAAGGAACTGGTAATCTTGGGTGATTTTAATATTGATTACTTAAATCCAGATTCCTTTTTAAAACACGATCTAGTAAAAACACTTCTGAATCTAAATCTAACTCAACTTGTCAAGTGTATCACCCGACCAGTGTCTAACACGTGTTTGGATCACATCTACTCAAGTCACCCAGATAGAATGCACAATGTTGTTACACTAAATATTGGCTTGTCCGATCATCTCCCAGTATTCGCTCTCAGGCGCTTTAAGAAAACCGGAGAGCAAGGTGCCGCAGGCACTAAAATACATGAACACACATCACTCAAATACCGAAATCAAAAGTCCCTCAATAATGAATTGTTTGCTAAAGATCTTTCAGAAGCCTCGTGGGATTCAGCATTCGTGTTTGAAGATACTGATAACATTGTTGATTCGTGGTATTCCATTTTTACTAATATCCTTAACAAACACGCTCCAATAATATCGAAACGAGTTAAACAAAAGATCCAACCAAAATGGTTTACAAATGATATAACAAATGAAATTCAAATCAGAGACAGACTTCTAAAACAAGCACGTGCTTCCAACAACGCAAATGACTGGTCAATTTTCAAACTGGCCAAAAATAAAGTAACTCAGTTAATCCGTAATAAAAAGAAAAATTATTTTAAATCGAAAGTAAATGAACATCGAGAAAACCCAAATAAACTATGGTCATTGATTAAAGATCTATCAAGAGTATCATTGGGAGAAAACAACGGTATTCGTCAATTAAACGAAAACGGAGAACTTGTAACGGAAAGCAGAAGCATTGCCGAAATCTTTAACTCTTTCTTTGTTAGTCAACCACAACGTCTCTTATCATCTATAAAGTCTACTTTTTGTAACGAATCTCTGCTAAACTCTCTAAAGATAAAGATAAAGTTTGAAATTCCACATATTTCTCCAGAAAAGGTACTTCAAATGCTAAATTCTATGCCAGCAAATAAAGCAACAGGTGCTGATGGATTGAGTCCTAAATTACTGAAAATTGCTGCTCCATCCATATCAAGCTCAGTCGCACGTCTCATAAACCATTGCATACCCACCAACACCTTCCCATCCAGATGGAAAGTAGCCAAAGTCACCCCAATTTTTAAGAATCAAGGAAGTGTAGAACACAAACAAAATTACAGATCAATATCTGTTCTTCCGATCCTCTCAAAATTATACAAAAGACATCTCTACGAAGCACTATATTCACACTTATCCAATAACAATTTCCTATACGGCCTGCAATCTGGCTTTCGCAAACGCCACTCGACTGAAACTGCTCTAATTCGCTTACTAGACCAAATCCTTCTTGACCTTGATAAAAACCACGTTACTGGCGTTGTTTTCGTAGACTACAGCAAGGCGTTTGGCCTGATTGACCACCAGCTTTTATTGCAAAAGCTAAGCGCTTATGGAGTGGATGATACCTATCTCAAGATTTTCCAAAATTACCTCTCAGACAGGACACAGTTTGTAGAAATTAACGGCTTCAAATCATGTCCATTATGTATAACTCATGGTGTCCCTCAAGGTAGCATTCTTGGCCCTCTTCTCTTTCTTGCTTTCATAAATGATCTACCTCCAAACATACCTAATTCAACTGTTGATGTATACGCAGATGACACTACTTTCTCTTCAAGTTCCTACTTCTCTGTCGCGTCGACTGAATTACAAGTTAACCTTCAACACGATATAGACCAACTATGTCAGTGGTCAGACAAAAATAGAATGGTACTAAATGCTGACAAAACCAAATCAATTCTTATTACTGGTAAACGCCTTAAATCCCGAATGCAATTATTTTCCTTACCTCTTACAGCAAGTGATTCAAATATTGAACTGGTTTCTTCGCAGAAATTACTTGGTGTAATCACTGATGAAGACTTGACTTTCAAAGAGCATATAAACAAACTTAGTAAAAACCTTAGTAAAAAGATCGGCCTGCTGAGAAAGATACGAAGATACTTACCACTACTTGAGAGAAAGCTATTTTACAACGCTGTCGTCAAGCCAGTTATGATGTATGGTACTGTAGTTCTATTTGGAGTTGCTGCTCGCGAAATGATCTGCTTAGAATTTTCAAATTACAAAAAAGAGCAGCTCGGGTAATTTTAGGAACTGACACTTCCTCCAGGTCAATAGCCAATTTCAATAAACTGGACTGGATACCTTTTTATGACGAAGTTAAAATTAACAAATGCACTTTAGTTTACAAGAGCCTGCATGATCAAGCTCCGCAGTATATTAAGAACTTATTTAAAACAAACAATGAATTTAATGGTAGACAAACTCGTCATGGCGAATATAATCTAGTGTGTCCTAAATATAATTATGCAAATGAGGGAGGAAAATCTGTAACGGTCAGCAGCATTAAAATATGGAACAATCTCCCGAAGGATATTAAGACGAAACCTAGCGTTAATTCCTTTAAGTTTGCCCTTAAAAAATACTTCTTAGAATCTTATAAGGGCATTGATCGCTTTGAATTATTATTGTAATCAGCAAGTTGTACTGTATATAATTTGTATATATAAATTTATAATCCTAAGATCTTTTACATATTTACTCTAAATAGCTTTTAGACGTTTTAAAGTAGAATTAATAACTTTGTACGTATTGTATATGAGGGCCACAGGTTTTTCAGTTATATTGCTGTCATGTATTTTTACCCTCTTTAAATAAAGTTGTTCATTCATTCATTCAACCTTGCCAGTTGAATTTGAATTAAAGAGCTTAGATGGTAAGTCACACATAATGTCAGTGCATTTACGACAGAGAAAGTAACTGGAGACATGGAAGCGATTGATTGGAATGAGTATGCTGGAATTCCGATGGGATCAATTAAAAAAAATAGAATTTCCAAAGATTGGTCAGAAATCCACGGTAGACCTGTTAATAGGCGTAGATCATGCAGATCTTCTCTATTCAAGACAAGAGATCCGAGGTGACGAAAAGACTTACTCCAATGGGATGGACATGTATCGGGCTACCAGGCAGAATGATCACACCTAATCACACTAACTTTAATCGCACCTATTTTACCCAAAGTCCATCGAAGTCAGCAGATGTCGACAACATTTTACGACAATTTTCGGAAATTGAAGAAACACCTTCCCACGATTATGGTACAATGAATGCCGAAGACCATCATCAATGAATGAATGAATGAATGAACGAATGAACGAACGATTGAATGAATGAATGAATGAATGTTAACAAAGTGAAGAATTCGATGAAATGTCAAGATGGTCGATACCAAGTGGCGATTCCATGGAAAGAAGATCCTGCAAATTTACCAGAGAATTACGATATGACATTAAAACGATCAATGAACACAGAAAAACGGCTGGCTAAAGATCCTGAGTTGAGCTGAGCCTAATCCAACGTTATCCTACGATATCGTGCAAAAAAGTATATTCGAAAGGTGCCAAAAAAAAGAACCAAGACCATCTTGTGTATGGTACAGTGCTTCCACTTACAAGGATTTATAGGAAATATTGGTCCTTGCAAGGAATTCACAAGGAAATAAAATTCACAAGGAAATGGCAAGGAAGAATATAAAAATTAAAGGAAATTGCAAGGATTTCTTGTAACTTATACCAGTTGCAAGACTAAAGAACCACTTAAACCAGTAAAATCAACTTACAAATAATATACATCTAACAAAAGAGGTTCAGAAGAGTCTAAAAATGCTATTTCCGGCAATCTAGAAACTATAAATTTCAAAATTTGCCATTCAGCGCCTCCTGTCATTCAACTCCTCGTCCCCTCCACCATTATCAAGCGCCTTACGCCCCTGGATGAACATAAATATATGTGTGGAGCATATACTTCCATGGAGGGAACTCTAGAAAGCTTGCCCAAATTTTTAGGCAATGTAATGATACTCAATTTCTCGTAGGGTCCATGAAACATTTGTCTAAAATTTGCCTGAATTTTCTTCATTTTTTCCACCGTTTGTGTGGCAGGGAAATTTTGTGCGGGAAAAGGAATTTTGGAGATTGTAAAAGCAGCTGGGAAATTTGTTGCGCATGCGCCAGATTTCCATTTGAAACTTGAAGATTTTTCCGAAGAAATATTACGAGATGTTCGTGGTTGTTGTATATTTTTGAATGCCTGTTTATCTTTATAATTTTTTTGCTCGAGACAAAGACAAAGTAAAATGTACTCTACGTTTCCAGTGTATAGAATATCTCGTTTGTGTTTGAACAGCAATAGAATATTATAAACTTGACACAACTTGTCTACATTTGACACGCTAAATCTGCAGTCATGCCTGCCAATCGTCGCGAGCTTGACAACCTTGTCAAACGCAAAACAAGTACTAATTTGGGTTTAAACAGAAAGTAGTTAAATGTTAATACCACTAACATATATTCTATAGAAATACGGGTGGTTTAAAATGATTTCAATTGAATTTTCAAAGCTTTTATCTATCGACATGATAAGCAAATGCTTTACATATATGTAAACAACCTTGATTTTAGGAAAGGTACCGGTTAATTGTGGTTGCTAAACGCATACATAAGAGTTCTCCCATGCACCAAGTATTTACCAGAATAAATTTTTGAAAGCTGGTTTCGGCAGAAAAAGTTCCATTTCGATTGCGCTGAACGACTCAAAAAGCTCACCTGGATCGTTGAACGGTACTAAAACGAAACGAAAGGCTTGATTGTAAGCAGCAGCGTCTTCAATAAACTGTACAGTAGCTTGTTGCACACCAGCTATTTCACCTGGGAGAGGACAAAAATAATTTCAGGGTAATTTTATATAGTAAGCAAGCAAGCAAGCAAGCAAACAAGCAAGCAAGCAAGTGAACATTAAACTTAAATTACAACACATTAAATACTATAATAGTTTTGTTTGTTTATACACCACGTAAATTTATTGCTGCAAAGCTTTCGATCTGTAAGCCCGGATCTTCATCAGTGCTAATAATATGCAACTTGTTCAACTATCACACGCCCTTTTTTATATACAAAAGTGTCGTGATCTGTTGGCTCAAATTATAGATTATATAGCGCAATAAATAGATTATAAATACTGTAATATAACACTTTTGACCTCAAACATGTACGTAGTATATCCTAAGCAACATAGCGCGTTAAATTATTTAAATTCACCTGATGAGTGTGGCAAAACTCGTCTTGTCATATAAAACAAATTTGTAGTGAAATAAAGTTCATATGAAGGAACTGAAATAAAGTTCATATGAATATATATATATATATATATATATATATATATATATATATATATATATATATATATATATATATATATATATATATATATATATATATATATATATGTATATATATATATAACAATTCAAGTCTTCTTGATATAATATAGAGTGCTCAATACTTTATTGTAGAGCTAAATATATTTAATTATTTAAATAAAGTACAAAACAAACGTTGTTACTCAGAGTTTCATGCCTGAGTTTACAGACAATCTTCGTACAACTAAAGTTCTGTTAACTAAATTTGACGGTTTGGTTTTGTTTGCTTGCGCGTGCATGATTGCGCACGTTGTTTGATTGCACGCGAATGTATTTTCCCGCCAGAAATTGTTTTTGGTGGACGCAATTCGAGAATATTTCACTTCTTTTGTTGCAACAATCAAAGTATGTTCGATGTCACAATGGGAAGTTTCGACGGAGCGGAAGTTTGTGAACTTGTTGGTTTATTCATCTTAAATGAACTATCGATAACGTTTGGGAAAGATCGTGTCGGCCTGTATCGCGACGATGGACTGATATTGCTGAAAGGAACTCGTGCTCGTCTAGCTGACCAGACAAGAAAGAAATTGCACCATTTATTTGATCAATTTGATTTAAAGATCACAGCAGAGGTCAGTCATCAAACTGTTAATTTCCTAGACATTACGCTCAACTTAGCTGACGGTAGTTACAAACCCTATAGGAAACCGAACAACCAACCACTCTATATCAACAGCCACTCTAACCACCCACCCCAATTATCAGAGAACTACCTGTGTCAATTAATAAAAGAATCTCCTGACTCTCTTCCGACAAACAAGCATTCGACTCATCGGCGCCTCTATACGAACAAGCCCTCCATCACAGCAACTACCAAAGCAAGTTACACTATCAAAATCATAACACCCATAACACACCAAAAAGAAACCGAAAAAGGAATATCACCTGGTTCAATCCGCCCTACAGTAAAAACGTGAGATCCAACATTGGTAAAGATTTTCTACACCTCGTAGATATTCACTTCCCTAAGTCATCCGCCCTCAACAAAATTTTCAACAGGAATACCATCAAAGTGAGCTATAGTTGCCTGAAAAACGTGAAATCCGTGATATCCAGCCATAACAATAAGATCCTTTCAATCACCAGTACCACCTCCCCCATCACCATCTCGCCCATCACCAACGTTAACGCCAACACCACCATTAAAACCAACACCAACACCAGTGCCACACACCAACAAAACATGCAATTGCAGAGATACGAATACGTGTCCTCTCAACAAGAAATGCTTAACCAAAGGCATTGTCTACCATGCAAAGATCGCAGCGGAGGACAACGGAGAAACAAGGCACTATATTGGAATTACGGCTACAACCTTCAAGGAGCGTTTTAGGAACCACCAGAAATCATTCAACATCGCTACGTATGCTAACGACACTGAACTGTCGAAGTACATATGGAGTTTGAAGAAAAGCAATCGCCCATACAAAATTAAATGGACAATTTTAAAACATTCGAGTGCATACGGATCGGGACGTAACCAGTGCAATTTGTGTAGCGACGAAAAACTTTTCATCATGAAATTTAAAAAGAACTCGCTGCTCAACAAAAGAAGTGAAATATTCTCGAATTGCGTCCACCAAAAACAATTTCTGGCGGGAAAATACATTCGCGTGCAATCAAACAACGTGCGCAATCATGCACGCGCAAGCAAACAAAACCAAACCGTCAAATTTAGTTAACAGAACTTTAGTTGTCCGAAGATTGTCTGTAAACTCAGGCATGAAACTCTGAGTAACAACGTTTGTTTTGTACTTTATTTAAATAATTAAATATATATATATATATATATATATATATATATATATATATATATATATATATATATATATATATATATATATATATATAAATCAATTTAAAAATCAGAGACTATGCAACTTCGACCATCAATTTATTAAAAAACTAAAACATACTAAAATAAAAGCTTAAAAGTTAAAAACGTTTCGGCAGTTCTGCCTTCATCAGTTTATATTACAATTTAACAATGTCTAGCTTTTATAGCATTGGCAGGATCAAAATTACCATATTATGTAGTAAACAAATTAATGAGGATCAATAGTAGGATCAAAATTACCATAATATGGCTTGCTAGTTATAATTATAATAATTATTACAACTTATAATGGATCCTATTTTTTGATCGAAGTTCAGATCTCTTATTGAGGCCATAAGGGCTAATTGTACACAGCTGTGCCATCCAATATGCTTCTCTGGTCAATAAAGGGTTATTGGCATTTTCGCCATTCACTAAGTCAACTTTTTCAATGGCTACAAATTCCAAATCCTTAAATTCGTGTTTATTTTCATTAAAATGAACGGCCATCTCACAAACTTTCTTATCCGTAAGCATAGCTGACTTGTGGTTACGAAAACGAACTTTAAATTCAGTAGATGTAGATCCAACATACTGAACATTGCATTTTTTGCAGGAAATTAAATAAACTATGTTAGTGGTACCACAATTCATTTCTTGTTTGATTTTGTATGACCGACCTGTACTAAAACTCCTAAAACATGCAGTCAGTCTCCTTCAAGAAATTATTACACAAATCACATTTTCGCTTACACTTGAAACAACCTGGCCTCTGATTTTCCGCCAACACATGCTGCTTATCAAACTTAGATGGTGCTACAATCTCCTTAAGGTTTTTTGGCCTTCTGTAGGCAGTTATTATAGACTTGTCCGGAAAAATTTCTTTCCACTCAGGTATGGAGATCAAGTGCTTATGCTTACTTATAATTTGTGAGATGTTAGGAGCGCTAGGATTAAATTCTGTCACAAAGGGATAAACCTTCTTTTTAGATTTAACTTTAGCATGCAGCAAATCTTTCCTATTCACCTTTAAAGATTTATTAAATTCCTTATCAACTAATGATTTTGGATATTCTTGACGAACTAAATATCTTTTGTATTCCTCTCACCTCTTGCTTAAATCACTATTGTCCGAACAATTTCGCTTAATTCTTAAGGCTACTCCGTACGGGATAGGATTCTTACATTGTATAGGATGTGCACTTGAGTATGGCAAATATAAATGACTATCTGTAGGTTTTGGATAAACATCAGTGGAAATAAAGCCATTCTCCAAGCGTAAGGTGAGGTCCAACACATTTAACTCAGTTTCCGAATAAACTAACTCAAATTTAATGGTAGGATACAGAGAGTTGATAAAATCAGTAAATTCTAGAAGCTTGGACAAACCTTGCATCCAGACATCTATAATATCATCTCTGTAGCGCCACCAAAGCTCTGGCTTTATATTTCCGCTAGTTTTGGCTAATCTATCTATTTCCCCCATAGCTTATATCCGCATAACTACATGCATTCTTATGACCCATAGCTGTACCATGTTTCTGTGGAAAATTCATTTCCCCAAACTGGCAGTTATTACATGCTAAGCAAATTTCAACTGCTCCAACAATACATTCAGTCGAGGGAAACTTATTTTCTCTCAAATTTAAAGCTTTCTTGACTGCAGTTAAACCTAAATTATTATCGATGTTCGGGAACATGGCTACGACATCTCATGATACTAATAACGTGTCAGGTGGCAAAGGACCCTTCTTATTTAGCTTATCTATTTCATTGATTAAATGGGTCGTGTCCTTAATAAAAGCAGGTAGTTTCTGGGCTAATGGTTTAAGGTAGAATTCTGTAAATACCGAGAGCCTTTCTATGGCAGTCCCGCAGTCTGTGATAAGTCTAAGAGGGTTGTTGTTTTTATGTGTTTTAACATTCCCAAATGCTACTCCAGCTTTGGGTTCCAAATTAACAACCCAGTTAGCTATCTTATCTGTAATTTGCTGCTGAACTAGCCATTTATCACTCCACTCTTTAACTCTATCTAAATGTAATTTGGTACGATTATCTGAAGTACTTAAATAGTGGAGTGGATTACTTAATTGCTCTAACATTTTCCCATTATACTCTTCTTTATCAATTAGCACAAACCTAGAACCCTTATCTTGAATCCTAATGATATTGTTATTTTTGGGGGAAATGAATTTTCTACAGAAACATGGTACAGCTATGGTCCTAAGAATGCATGTAGTTATGCGGATATAGCTATGGGGGAAATAGATAGATTAGCCAAAACTAGCGGAAATATAAAGCCAGAGCTTTGGTGGCGCTACAGAGATGATATTATAGATGTCTGGAAGCAAGGTTTGTCCAAGCTTCTATAGAATTTACTGATTTTATCAACTCTCTGCATGTATCCTACCATTAAATTTGAGTTAGTTTATTCGGAAACTGAGTTAAATGTGTTGGACCTCACCTTACGCTTGGAGAATGGCTTTATTTCCACTGATGTTTATGCAAAACCTACAGATAGTCATTTATATTTGCCATACTCAAGTGCACATCCTATACAATGTAAGAATCCTATCCCGTACGGAGTAGCCTTAAGAATTAAGCGAAATTGTTCGGACAATAGTGATTTAAGCAAGAGGTGTGAGGAATACAAAAGATATTTAGTTCGTCAAGAATATCCAAAATCATTAGTTGATAAGGAATTTAATAAAGCGTTAAAGGTGAATATAGGAAAGATTTGTTGCATGCTAAAGTTAAACCTAAAAAGAAGGTTTATCCCTTTGTGACAGAATTTAATCCTAGCGCTCCTAACATCTCACAAATTATAAGTAAGCATAAGCACTTGATCTCCATACCTGAGTGGAAAGAATTTTTTCCGGACAAGTCTATAATAACTACCTACAGAAGGCCAAAAAACCTTAAGGACATTTTAGCACCATCTAAGTTTGATAAGCAGCATGTGTTGGCGGAAAATCAGAGGCCAGGTTGTTTCAAGTGTAAGCGAAAATGTGATTTGTGTAATAATTTCTTGAAGGAGACTGACTGCATGTTTTAGGAGTTTTAGTACCGGTCGGTCATACAAAATCAAACAAGAAATGAATTGTGGTACCACTAACATAGTTTATTTAATTTCCTGCAAAAAATGCAATGTTCAGTATGTTGGATCTACATCTACTGAATTTAAAGTTCGTTTTCGTAACCACAAGTCAGCTATGCTTACGGATAAGAAAGTTTGTGAGATGGCCGTTCATTTTAATGAAAATAAACACGAATTTAAGGATTTGGAATTTGTAACCATTGAAAAAGTTGACTTAGTGAATGGCGAAAATGCCAATAACCCTTTATTGACCAGAGAGGCATATTGGATGGCACAGCTGTGTACAATTAGCCCTGATGGCCTAAATAAGAGATCTGAACTTCGATAAAAAAATAGGATCCATTATAAGTTGTAATAATTATTATAATTATAACTAGCAAGCTATATTATGGTAATTTTGATCGTACTATTGATCCTCATTAATTTGTTTACTACATAATATGGTAATTTTGATCCGGCCAATGCTAAATTGTAATATAAACTGATGAAAGCAGAACTGCCGAAACGTTTTTAACTTTTAAGCTTTTATTTTAGTATGTTTTAGTTTTTTTTAATAAATTGATGGTCGAAGTTGCATAGTCTCTGATTTTTAAATTGATTTTTATATATATATATATATATACGACAGTACTTGCTGTGAATCCTATTTGGATCCTTCGCCCTCGAGGAGACTTCGTTTGGCATTGCCAAACCTAATATCAAAGCTTATATATATATATAAGCTTTTGACATTTTAGCACCATCTAAGTATATATATATATATAAGCTTATATATATATATATATATAAGTTTGAGCGCTCTGGCATGGTTTTGATGTCCCACAATCGTGAGGCATCAAAGGTAACTATAAATAAGAGTTACTTTCATCCTGCTCATCAGCACTACACTGATGAGGCCCATTAGGCCGAAACGGTACCGTCTGTAGTTAGATATCGCTCTATGGCCTTTAGGTCGTATTGAGCGCTCTACAGGATGAGCCATGCCGCTTACGCATTGCGCACGCTCACTGCTTGCAGTTTGAGCGCTCTGGCATGGTTTTGATGTCCCACAATCGTGAGGCATCAAAGGTAACTATATATAAGAGTTACTTTCATCCTGCTCATCAGCACTACACTGATGAGGCCCATTAGGCCGAAACGGTACCGTCTGTAGTTAGATATCGCTCTATGGCCTTTAGGTCATATTGTGCGCTCTACAGGATGAGCCATGCCGCTTACGCATTGCGCACGCTCACTGCTTGCAGTTTGAGCGCTCTGGCATGGTTTTGATGTCCCACAATCGTGAGGCATCAAAGGTAACTATAAATAAGAGTTACTTTCATCTGCTATACATACATGTATTATATATATATATATATATATATATATATATATATATATATATATATATATATATATATATATATATATATATATATATATATATATATAGGTTATCATATAAGGGATGAGGTGATATCAGTTTTATCGCTCGAGGGATGATATCACAATTGTCACGAGCGAGCGAGGGACAATTGTGATATTGTCCCGAGAGCGATAAAACTGATATCACCGAATCCCGAGTACAATAACCTATTTATTATATACTTGTACCTTTACCAGGGTTTGACACCCAAAGTAAACAGTTTTGATTTTTGAAAAAATAGGATCATTTTAGAATTCAAAACAATTCATCATTTACTGAACAAATATGATTTTAGAAAATAAATAGACCATTCATATAGATAATATACAATTTAAGTCTTTTATTTTGTATTATCGTTCTTGTTTTCTTCGATAAACTCTCGACATCAACCAACACGAACCTCGAATCGGCCATCTTTGTTTTGACAAGGCGCGAAATTTAGCGGGACAAAAAACGATATCCGGGACAAAAAACGATATCCGGGACGATATCGTTTTTATGTCCCGCTGCTTCCTACCTGATAAAGGTACAAGTATGTGATAAATATATATATATATATAGATATAGATATATATATATGGGACGTGAAACTCAGAGTAGCGATATTTAATTTTAAGATATAGACAATCTATATATATATATATATATATATATATATATATATATATATATATATATATATATATATATATATATATATATATATATATATATATATTTGAAGATTAGAAGACAAACTTGAATTATACTTCATATGAACTTTATTTCACTACAAATTTGTTTCGTATGACAAGACTCGTCTTGTCATACGAAACAAATTAAATTTGTAGTGAAATAAAGTTCATATGAAGTAATTTAAGTTTGTCTTCTAATCTTATTAGCTCTATTACGGTATTGAGCACTTTACTCATATATATTCCAAACTCGATACTTGTCTATATATATATATAACTCAACACATAACGTTTAGACTTTATTGTCTTCATCAAATATATCAAATATAATCCTACTTTACAGGCGAACCCAATTTATACCCCCCAATTTTGCTAATTATGCATAATATGAATATAAGTGATTTACCATACAAATAACAATATCCTACTAACTATAATTAACATTGCTACGCATTCTCTTTGTTCAATTCCGAATGATGCATTGTCTTTAGTTTCCTTATCCAAAATGCCTCACGTCTGGTCGGTTTCGCTGGGTCAGTTTTATCAATTAAAACAATCTCGCAATCACTAATCAATCATTATGTCCATTACCCAAGAAATGTGATGGAAAACATTTGTGTATAGGCCTCGTTATTAACTGCCTTTTTCTGGCAAGCTTTATAATTACTCCAACGATACCTAAATTTATCTGTTGTTTCGTCAACATATTGTTTTTTACAGACTTTACAAGTAAGAAGATAAACCGCACATTTCGAGTCGCAATTCAACCTATGGTTCACTTTGTACTGTTTACCATCTGTTGAACGCTCAAAGCTGTCGGTTTCTCGAATATTATTGCACGTTAAACATTGTGCTTTCTTACATTTCGTACACCCCTTTTCCCTCACTTACGGCGGTACTTTACCCTAACTTAATAACTTTTCAAGTTGCGGCCAGTTTTAAATGCCACAAATGGTCCTGGCGAAAACACTTTCTGAGTTTCTGGATCTAAGTATAATAGATGTATATATTTATGGATTATAAGACCGAAGTCCTTTAACAGAGGATGAAACGTAATTGTCAAAGGTACTCCTATTTTTCTTTTTTTGTTTGATGCTCTATCACAAGATTGTAACCTCTCAAATTCTTTCCTAATAAGCCAGATTGGGTTGGCTCTATTTTGCAGCCAACTCGACAATTCCTGCAAATTGGGAGGGTATAAATTGGGTTCGCCTGTAAAGTAGGACGAAACGTTATGTGTTGAGTTGATTAACTTATATACGCTTATGGCTTTTCGCCTAGTGATTTACCTATATATATATATATATATATATATATATATACCGGGTGTCCCAAAAAAAAGTACTCCTGTTTGATTCGTAATAACTTCTAAACAAGTAAAGCTTTTAAAGAGAAATAACTTGCATTAAATAGAGGAAGGACTAACTTAGATTTTGATATATTACAGTTGTATTTTACTTAAAATTCACGGAGATATTAATTTTTAAAATCGGGAGCATATTTTGGGATGTGTCTAAAATTAGCGAAAATCGGCATATCAAATATTAACTCCAGCGTTTGTTTACTTAATGACATAGCATAATCGTTAGGGTTTGTAAGGGATATGGCGTAGATTTAGACATCTTACATGTAAGTTTTATATCTAGCTCAGTGTTTCCTGAAATATGAACGTTCGAAATTATGCAAGTATTAAAGTATTTAATATTAGGTCTTTGCAAACTTAAAAGTACATAAAAGACTGACCATGGAAGGCAGGCGATTAAATTTTTCTTAAATTAAATAGCCTAATTTTTTTATGTTTTTAATGGGTTCAAACAGACTGAGTTGATTATTTCTCGGTTAGAGCAGGATGAATATTATTCTTTATTGAAGGAAATAATATTGCTTTTTGCAAATACACATCACCGTATCAACGCTACTATTTTGTTACGTTTTGTTCCAAAAATGTTGCATGTCTCTGGGGAGTTGCTTAATTGTTATGTCTTATGGAGTTATATGGTTTGATTGTGTTTCATATAATTTTCAGTTTACTCTGAACTTGCCAAGATTAAGAAAAGGCAAAAGAGTTTGGGTGTTCTTAACAAGATTTCAGAACGTTAATTGCAGAAGTTAGAAGAGCTTCACAATTCCATTGTGACAGCATGCCCTAATTCAGAGCTATACGAACGATCCATGACTATCCTTCGCGATGCAGTGGTCTCATGAAATAAAGAAACGAATTCGTGCTAGGAACACACGCGAATTTCGGACGAATAAATCTTGCTTGTATTTTGTAGATATAATAATACTTTGTTTCATAATAAGCGATTTGTCAAGTGTCATTTATTTACTGGTAATAGTTCATGTTTCAGTCGGGCAAATCTTGATTAATATTTGATACGCCGTTTTTTCCATATTTCAGACACATCCACAAATATGCTCCCAATTTTAAAGATTAATATCTCCGTGAATTTTTAAGTGAAATACAACTGTTATATATCAAAATCTAAGTTAGTCCTTTCTCTATTTGATGCAGGTTATTTCGCTTTAAAAGCTTTACTTGTTTAGAAGTTATTACGAATCAAACAGGAGTACTTTTTTTTGGGACACGCGGTATATATATATATATATATATATATATATATATATATATATATATATATATATATATATATATATATATATATATATATATATATATATATATATATATATATATATATATATATATATATATATATATATATATACCGGGTGTCCCAAAAAAAAGTACTCCGGTTTGATTTATAATAACTTCTAAACAAGTAAAGCTATCAAACAGAAATAACTTGCATTAAATAGAGGAAGGGCTAACTTAGATTTTGATATATTACAGTTGTATTTTACTTAAAAATTCACGGAGATATTAATGTTCAAAATCGGGAGCATATTTTGGGATGTGTCTAAAATTAGCGAAAATCGGCATATCAAATATTAACTCCAGCGTTTGTTTGTTTAATGACATATCAGGCTAACTTGTATTTCAACGAATTGTCGTTATGGTTTGTATAAGGGATATGGCGTAGATTTAGACATCTTAACATGCATATAAATCTTAGCTCATGTTATTGTTTCCTGAAATATGAATGTTCGAAATTATGCAAGTATTTAATAGGTCTTTACAAACTTTAGGTACATGAAAGACCACTAAGGCAGGCGCTTAAATTTTTCTTAAATTAAATAGCCTAATTTTTTAATATTTTTCATGGGTTAAAAACAGAGTTGATTAATTCTCGGTTGGAGCAGGATGAATAATATTCTTATTATGAAGGAAATAATATTGCTTTTTGCAAATACACATCACAGTATCGACGCTACTATTTTGTTACGTTTTGTTCCAAAAATGTTGGATGTCTCTGGGGAGTTGCTTTTGATGACTTATGGAGTTGTATGGTTTGATTGTGTTTCATTCTCAGTTTATTCTGAACTTAACAAGATAAACAAGATTAAGAAAAGGGAAAAGAGTTTGAGTTTTCTTAACCAAATTTCAGAACTTTGAAGAAGTTAGAAGAGCTTCACAATTCTATTGTGACAGCATGCCCTAATTCAGAACTACGCGGATATTCATGACGATCCTTCGAGATGCGGTGGTCTCACGAAATAAGGAAACGTATTCGTGCTAGGAACACATGCACACGGATTTCGGACAAATAAATCTTGCCTGTATTTTGTAGATAATAATACTTTGTTTCATAATAAACAATTTGTCAAATGTCATTTAATTACTGGTAATAGTGCATGTTTCAGTCGGGCAAATGTTGATTAATATTTGATACGCCGTTTTTTGCATATTTCAGACACATCCAGAAATATGCTCCCGATTTTAAACATTAATATCTCTGTGAATTCTTAAGTGAAATACAACTCTAATATATCAAAATCTAAGTTAGTCCTTCCTCTATTTGATGCAAGTTATTTCTCTTTAAAAGTTTTAATTGTTTAGAAGTTATTACGAATCAAACCGGAGTACTTTTTTTTGGGACACCTGGTATATATATATATATATATATATATATATATATATATATATATATATATATATATATATATATATATATATATATATATATACGTAGCAATTATAAGATAAAATAACGTGTATTTGATCAGTAAATGTTTTGTTGACAGTGTGACGTTTCATTCTTCTTAAAGACATCTTTATACTAAAAAGAATGCTTTTTGCTGCCGAACGAAGCGATGGCAGCCACCTATTCTTGACGGCGTTTACAGTTTTAACTCGTGCCAGATCCCCGCGCGACTTATGAATTTTAGCCAAAGCAATCTCGATTTGTTTGTCATTTGTTCATTCGATCATTCGGGTCGCATTTTCTGACGTCACAGCAGAACGACGTTGTGTACAAATTTATATACGCAAGATGTTTACGATGATAATCCGATCACTTCCGAAAGCTGTGTTCGATGCGCCGTAGCTTCATAGGAGCTATGATATTTAATTTTGACCTGACCATATGGCATATCGCATATTTTTCCATGCCATTGCACAAGACTTTATATTTCACAATATTACTGGAAACATGTCATGAGAAAACGCGTCCAATTGGCTGTCAAACATGATTTGTTTGGACTTCAAACATCACATGATTCTACTGCAAACATTTACGTTTCAACTGTCAATTGTCAATATTCCAAATTTAGGAACACATTCATATTGGGCGGGGATTAGCTTGCAAACACTAAATCCGTGATTAAATTCGTCCGAATTAAATTCGACGTATGAAACAGGCCTTAGTGAAGTTCTAACATGCTGTAAATTTGTGAGTTTTGCGTTTATAGTGGACAAATTCCGTATTGTTTGCAATGTTTGTACTAACATTTTTACGTTTTCGCGCGAAAAATAATTGTAAACCGTTAAATGTTTGCAGCAAAATCATGTAAAGTTTGAAGTCCAAACATGTTATGTTTCATGTCCAATTAGATCGCGTTTTTTCATGACGTGTTTCCGCTTAGTTGCAATCGACGGTATTTGATTTTGGAGGAAAAGAGTTATATTTTTAAACGTATGTTGATAAAAATATTTATTTAAACGTTTGAATACTTTTATATATGTAAATGAACGTGCATGATAGTCTGTTTTTAATACATTATAGAAATTCGAATTCTATCTCCTTTTAATTAATAGGTGTATATTTTGGTGTATGTTCGTGGGGATCTTTTGGTCATATCAAATCAAAAGGGGCCGTTCATATTGTGAACTCGCTGTACCTGTACCAAACTTGCTAGCGATGTGTGAACTCGCCATATTTTATACTTTATACCAGCGAAGTGTGATCTCGCTAGCTGGGTGTCAGTTGTTGACAATGGCAATATTAAAGTTGTATACTGATTCTGTCAAAAGATCAAGGCAACAAGGTGTTGTATATCAAATTTTAAAAATATATTGGTTGTTTGTCAATTAGAGGATTGCCAATAAAAATAGTTATATATTACAGTAAAATGATTATTAATATTGTTGTTATGGGAATATGATATACAGTAAAGCCCTGCATAAAGGAACCAGTGAAATTTGACTTCAGGCTGAAGTGGTTCTTATATAATCTCAACTATTGCTACGACACTAATATGGTTCTCGTTACACATATCTAAACTTTAAAAACTTTTTAAAACTTGTATTTTGGGTGCTTAATTGCCCATATTTCAGGCTGGTGGTTCTTAACCTATACTTGTTCTTTTATGTGGGGCTTTACTGTATATCAATAGACCTTATGCATAATGATGTCTCAAGGCTTGATGCCTGTGAAAAATGCTGGTCTTAGTAGTCATCAGCAGGGAAAATTTCGAGAATTGCCATTTTGAATTGTTTAATTTTCCCGGGCAATGACTAATAAGACCAGCATTCCTCACAGACATCAAGCCTTGTGATGTCATTATACATAAGGTCAATTGAACAGTATGATGTCCGCATTGGAACACACCATTGTATACGAATGAAAAATTATCTGACTTGCTTTCAATAATGCTCACAATTTCTTTCTTATATTTATATTGTTTTGCAGTTCCGACTGAGTACAATCTTAATCACTTATACAATGAATGGTGTCATCTGAATCTGACGTATTAAACAAAAATGTCAACAAAATAGATTTTGTCTCCCCATCAGCAGGTTGTTCAGTTGGTTTGCGGCAGTGGTAGCCTTGATGGTGCCATTAAAACGATAATTGGGAAAAAACTGGTTATTGGTAATATTTCTATGTATGGAATTGTTACTAAATTCTACATATAATATATCCAATGATTCATTAAAGTATTATTATCATTTGTTATACATGATATTGTACAGTATTCAGTGGCAAGCTAGACATAACAACTGGTCGTGCTAGGCTAATAAACCTGCATCTATTTGAATAATGCAAATCATTAAAAACTTTCAAGGCATGACCTGGTGCTATGGCTATAGCTTTACCACTAACAGTTTTCGCCACTTATAATTACACATACTACAGAAATAAGAAATTATAAACATTGAAGGTGTAAAACTGTCCATGCCAAGAAAGTAGAATTAGAATATTTAGCTGACCTTGGATCGACATTGTGCAAGGTGTTTTTGAATTCAAATTGCGCTTTTCCTACTTCTTGAACAAGTGTCTTAGGGCGCTTTCCATTTAATGGCCTGACCGGTGAGACCCGAATTCTTTTCTCTGTATCAATGGAAAGATCTGATCTGCGTTTCTCAAATATCTAGCGAAAATGGACCTCATTCTAATGTTATCTAAATTTTCCGGTCAGGTAGGTCCGAAGCCCAAATGTCTTGTGTTCATTTCAACAATTTTACCGTTCTGACCAGTCTGGCTGTGTTAATGGAAAGCGCTCTGAGGGGTCCTTTACATGCTTATATAATGGACAGCGGGATGAGGCAGCACTTTCCTTGCGATAGTAACTTCTAGTGTTTAATAAACAGGTTATTAGATAGAAAAGTTGTTGGGGTACAATGCAGGGCCTTTTTAAGCATTTTCCCGGGGGGGGGGCGTTTTTTGAAAAGGGACCTTTCTGTGAGATAATATATTAGAGAGGGATAGGAACGGCCTGAAGGTCACATGTCTTGCCGACATACCACACATGAATAGGGGGGTCTGGGGCATACTTCACAGAAAATTTTTGAAATTTGAAGCACGGAAATGCATGCCATTTCCTGCATTCTGAGCATTCAAATTTGCTCCAAAATTTATGCTAAATATACTTGTATTTGAAATAAAAGAAGGAAAAAACGCACAAAAAGTTTAAAAAAATATTAACCGTAATTTGTCATTACTTATTAGAGGGGGATAGCAATGGCCGAAGACCACGTGTGGCGTATCGCATATTTTTCCATTGCACGAGGCTTATTTTACCATATTACTATTTGATTTTGGAGGAAAGCATTATATTTTTGAAGGCATATGTTGGTAAAAATAGTTAGTTGAACGTTCGAATACTAATATATATATATAGAGGCTATAGATAGATATATCTATCTATCTATCTATCTATCTATATATATATATATATATATATATATATATATATATATATATATATATATATATATATATATATATATATATATATATATATATATATATATATATATATATATATATATATGTATATACATATATATATATATATATGTAAATGAACGTGATTGTCTGTTTTTAATACATTATAAAAATTCGAGTTCTATCTCCTCTTGGTGTATATTTTGGTGTGTGTTCGTTGGCGATCATTCGGTCAAATCAAGTCAAAAGGGGCATTATGTTTTTCAAAACAGCAGTGCCAGTGAATTGTAAACTCGTTGTACCTGTACCGAACTTGCTAGGGATGTGTGAACTAGCTATATTTTATACTTTATACTAGCGAAGTGTGATCTCGCTAGCTGGGCAATCGTTGATGTTGGCAATAATAAAGTTATATATATACTGATTCTGTCAAAAGATCATGCCAACAAGGTATTGTATATCAAATTTTACAAATATAGGTTGTATGTCAATTAGAAAATTGCCAATAAAAATAGTTATATATATAATACAGTAAAATGATTATTAATATTGTTATTATGGGAATATGATATACAGTAATTAAAGCTCTGCATAAAACTATTGCTATGATACTATTATGGTTCTTGATGCATATATCCAAACTTTAAAAAAAATTTAAAACTTGTATTTTGGGTGCTTTTAATTAAAATTTTCCAAATTTCAGGCTAGTGGTTCATAACCTACTGGTTCTTTTATGCGGGGCTTTACTGTGTATCAATAGACCCTATGCATAATGACGTCTCAAGGCTTGATGCCTCCGAGAAATGGTGATCTTAGTAGTCATCCCGGTCCAGGAAAATTTAGATAGTGGCCATTTTGAACTGTTTAATTTTCCCGGGCGATGACTACTAAGACATTCCTTGCGGGCATCAAGCCTTGTGACATCATTATGCATAAGGTCAATGGAGCAGTATGATGCCAGAATTGGAACACACAGTTGTATATGAATGAAAAGTTATCTGACTTTTTTCCCTAATGCTCACAATTTCTTTCTTATTATATAGTTTTGCAGTTCTGACTGAGTACAATCTTGATCATTTATACAAAGAATGGTGTCATATGAAGCTGATGTATCACATATTAAACAAAAATGCTAACAAAATAGATTTTGTCTCCCAATCGGCAGATTGTTCTGTTGTTCTGTGGTGGGGTAGCCTTGTAGGTGCCATTAAAACGATAATTGGGACAAAAACTGACTTTAATAGGCTACTAGTAGTATTTCTATGTATGAAATTGTTATTAAACTCTACATATCCAATGATTCATTCAAGTATAATTTATTATCATTTGTTATATATGATATTGTACAGTATTCAGTGGCAAGCTAGCCATGACAACTGGTCATGATATGCTAATAAACCTGCATCTATTTGAATAATCTAAATCATTAAAAACTTGCATAACATGACCTGTAGACTTTCGCAAAGTCCTTCATCTTTGTTTAGAACGAAGGAATTTCCAAGGAAGTAATTTCTTGAAGAGTAAGGAATTTGTGGAAGTCAATATAATTAGAATATTTAGCTGACCTTCGACTCTGTGCAAGGTGTTTTCGTATTCAAATTGCACTCTTCCTACCTTTAGGAGGAATAAAGCCTAAACCTTACTTTCCGTTTATCTATTTGTTTTTCTTCACTGGTTTGTTCATAGATTTAGGAAAAAGGGACTTTTCCTGGGGGGGGGGGGGCACAATAGGCCCTAGTTCAATGCTTTAGTATCATTAGAGAGTGTTTTAATAATTATCAGATCATGAAAGAGAATTATCGAGAATAGTGAGACAAAAACCTACCACTCATGCTGCCAGATGTATCAATGGCAAACGAAAGGGTTCGAAGAGCTTCCATGTTCAGAAACGTAGCAAATTTGGTGTCACCGACATCCCTGCGAATGCTGTCGAAGAACAATTTTGTTGCTTTAATGGCCACTCTAGCTGCAGGCTGGTGTCGTCTGTTTAAGTAAAAAGATTTATTTGCATGATATTGAAATGTTGTGGTTGGTTTTTGTATTAGATCATGTGTTGGGTGAAATAATTATTTAAAATATTCCAAAGTCTCCGTTGTTACCCCCAAATACGGAAATCTTCCCTGGCAAACATACAAAACTGCCTATAGATAATATGCGTATAGTGAATGAATGGCCTGGAAGTTCCTAACAAGCTTCAATATCCAATACAACTATTCTAGAGGTTCGGATTTGACTTCCTCGCCGCCATTAATTAAGGGACTAGTAATCAATCAGATGCGTTCGACATATCCAATTAACCAGTCAGATGCGTATATACTAAGTCAGTGAGAGCTAGTTGTATCGGTAGTGGAAGTCAAACCTGAACCTCTATGTTATCAAATTAACATCAGGGCAAAAGTTTCGACCTATCTTAGGATTTTTCCCTCACTGAGAAAATACACTGCATGGGGGAGACTATTAGAACATAAATCTGTTGTGATACAGTTTGGACTTTGTCATGTATCAACAGGAAAATCGCACAATAAGTAAATTTGCCCAAACCTACCTATAATGTGGCGATAAATAGCGAAGAGAAGCATCCTTATTAATGCCTCCTTTAGCATCGAATTTCCTTGACTTGTCGAAAATACCACCATGACTACATTTACCGACACCAACAGGTTTAGCTACATCGTAGTATCCACTTGTTAGTTTCCCCGTATTCAGTAAATTATTCTGACAATCGTCGGTACCAAGGCCAAGGAGATGTGCGAAACTCGCTGAGGTACAGTCATTGCACGTTTTTTCGTTAGTTCCCGCTATATTACTTTCGCTTATAATTTCATCTCCCAAGATGGATAATGGGTCATTGTTTCCTGATTCGATCCAGTTTGAATGACTGTAAAAGTCTTGCAAGGTATGAAGCAATGTACCAGCGTCTTTCCTAGCCTTTGTGTAGTCAGCCATTTTGATCAGAGAAACAACTTGTTTCTTTAAACGAATGAGACGTTTTGACCCTTCACGAAACTGCTCAGCGTCAAAATGGGCGGCAGATTTCTTTGCTTCGTTTTTGTCAACAGCTGCATTAGCGTACTCAATTTCTTTAACAGCATCCTGGAATTTTGAAGATTTTACCAAACGAAAAAGCCGGCTGGATACGCTGCCTTCAAGTAATCTTGCTGTGTTGACAGACGCGAGTTCATCAGCTCTTATTTTATTCACATAGTTTGGATTTGTTTTAAGGAATTCGATCACGCTACACCATAACCCTGCCTGTGTTATAACTTTGTGATTAAGCGAAGACCAAGCTCCACTAAAGAACGTAAGAAGTCTTGTTGGAATAAATGCAGTAGAAAAACCAACCAGCAGGAACAAAAAACACAAATGAAACTTCATTTTGAACTCATCAAATTTTGTTCGCCATTACACTCTGCGTGATGATGTTTGCTAATAATAAACTCTCCCTTGAGATGATCTATTTCAAACACTTTGTGACAAACAAATTATCAAGAAATGAATGTTAAATTGACCAAAAAATTATCGCTAACCATCACTTATAATAACATTCCTGCATTCACGCACGCAATAGATTTTTTAAATTAAAAGCTTGCTATTTGAAAAGTGAAACAAGTGAAGTATATTTTTGTGCATAAAAACTTACAAGGGACGTAAATATATTACGCTATGTATTCTCATTTACTATAATGAATAGTTGATATGAGTTTACTACTAAATGGTAATTGTTTTGAACCAGATTTGCTTCCCGTATTCAAACGGAAGTTTTTACTTAGCTAAAAGCGCGTGATAAAAAGTAAATATATAGGAGATATCAGATACTATAACCATATCATAGTTAAAAAGATTAAGATTGAACACAAACATGATAGCTCACATGCAGTATTCATGTGATACTTGCGGCATATTTTGGGTGCCTCGCATAGCTTGCAAACCAAAATAGAACGCGACACTCTCGAATTTCAATACTGCATGTATAACTAACTACTTGTGGGGGAGTATAGACAAAATGTCTGCAGAAATTAAAATTTCTGGCATGGTTTTGCAGGAATTAGAAATAAATTTTCCGAACAAATAAAATTAAAAACAAAATTATTAATTTTGCTTTTTATTACGTATCTATAGGGGATAGGAAACTTTAGCTCATAATGCTACCGTCTGTTGCAACAAAGGATGAATGTCCGCTGATAAAACATTGTCTATTCTCATGACAAAGTTCAATGTTTTTGCCGAAAAGTTCAATGTCACTCAAGAGCACTTGGCAGGTTTTAATCTGATCAGCCAATCATGTTCAACCAGTTCCAAGCTGATTGGCTGAGCGAATTTAAACCGTCAAATGATCATCATAATTAACTTTCTCGGTAAAAATATTGAACTTTGTCATGAGAATAAACAATGTTTTATCTGCGACGGTTCATCCTTAGTTGCAACCGACGGCATCAGTTTTGATCTCTTGTTCCTAAAGATCCAGGAACCAAACCTTAACTAAACTAACTTATAAACCAAGAGCGCCTGCTTGCTGCAAATCTATCTATCTATCTATCTATCTATCTATCTATCTATCTATCTATCTATCTATCTATCTATCTATCTATCTATCTATCTATATATATATATATATATATATATATATATATATATATATATATATATATATATATATATATATATATATATATATATATATATATATATTGTGTACGAAACGCAAAGAGTGCTCAATATCATAAAAATAGAGCAAATGTAGAATTTCGCTTACCTCAAAATTTCGAAACAGTCTGTTTCATCAGTAAAGAATCATCAAGCGGTATGACAAGTTTCGAAAATAGGGCTGCTTCAGCCTAGACCTAGGCCTTCTATTTTTATTTATATTTTTTTAATATTCAGCGCTTTTTCACATGAAAAGACTGGGACTAGGTGATTTGGGGGCGGGGCGGAGGAAGGACACAAGCCTGACGCAAGCGAAAAATTAGAAGGCCTAGTGGATTTCCCAACAACAAGGCCAAAACTGCCCTGAAACTGCCCTGATTGCGAAATGCCCAATTGTTGCGTTCTCAAACAGAATTATTTGCAACTTAACAGCGAATTTACACCGATACAGGTAAAATAAACTCATTTATAGTATAAACTTACTATTTTTATTTGTATACACGTCTAGAAAATCGGGTTTTTTATCATAAAGTTTGAAGCAACACTATTATTATGTTGACAAGGTGAAGCGAAAGCACAAAATAATAATTCTTTTATTCGCAAGACAATCTCCTGTTTTGCTTTGAATAACTATATTTGCGAATTGGGAATGAGGATTTTGAAATTATTGTTCAAATATTACGGATATACCATTTGTAAACAATGTACGTTTTTATATACAGTACTGTACGGGCTAATAATGTATGTATCCGTTTTATTTAATAAATTATAATTGTATATGTTTTTGTATATTTTACAAACACAAGACTGCTTCTTGCCAAAATTGAGAAAATATATATTAATGTAGTTGTGTATAAGACAAAATTTCATGAAAGATTCTACTTTTGGTATATATTTTGACTCATTTTGTGCTTTCGCTACACCTTGTCAACATATTAAATAATAGTGTTGCTTCGAACTTTATGATAAAAACCCCGATTTTCTAGACGTGTGTACAAATAAAAATAGTAAGTTTATACTATAAATGAGTTTATTTTACCTGTATCGGTTTAAATTCGCCGTTAAGTTGCAAGTAATTCTGTTTGAGAACGCAATAATTGGGCATTTCGCAACAAGGGCAGTTTCAGGGCAGCTTTGGCCATGTTGTTGGGAAATCAACTAGGCCTTCCAGGCTTGGTTCCTCCGCCCCGCCCCCAAATCACCTAGTCCCAGTATTTTCATGTGAAAAAGCGCTGAATATGAAAAAATATAAATAAGACTAGAAGGCCTAGGTCTAGGCTGGCGTTTTATAACGTTTTATTTGACGTAGGGATGACGTAATGCTTCTTCCCGCCTATGACGATTTGAATTAGTCATGTGATACAAGATTACGAAAGCCGATTTGCCCAGAACGATGACACGCCCACGAAACGCCTACAATGTTCCTACCCTCTTATTTTCTCCTTAATTTTTCTCGCTTGCTTATTATTTTGCCAGAAGGGGCGGCAATGCCGTGCACCATGTAGATTGGGACGAGGAAACATGGCGATGGCAGACGAAGCAGATGTGGAATTTGTTTCGAATATTAAAGAACTATTTATGAAACAAAATAAGAAGTTATGAATATTCTGATCTTTTAAACATAATTATAATACATGAGTAAGTACAATACCATTTCTAACTTTCTATTTAACAACACTACACCTGTCCTATTGCCCGTGGCCTGATACTCAGGTTAACATTATTTGAAATTTGATATTCAAAATAAAAACTCCTTCGATCGGATACCGTATAAAACTCGAGATGTTGTCGAAGAAAAGAAAACTAAACGACGGAGATTGAAGAAATTTAAGGAAGAAGTAATATACAGCGGCTCTTTGTTGGAAAGCATGGTAGAATATGATACTTTAATTCGAAATATTATCGTGAATATATTAGTGGCATCCTCCCCCCTGCAAATCCAACGGTAAAGAAGGCCTGGTTGCGCAGACGTTCGCCGTAGTAATTTTCGGCCTGGGCAAGTTCAATATAAAATGGGTTTTGATTTCCATTGTTAAAATATGGTCCAAAACTTGTACATCTCGCCGAAGTATCTCCGTATTTTCGAAGAACGGCATCTGTTCTACATGCTGGCGAATTTTTTTGGAGAATAAAGCGATTTGAGTGTGAGAATTTTCGATTCGAAGTGCCGTGCCGTCGGATCGACGATCGGGAATAGTTAGCCTTTATCATGTTTCATGTATACTAGCAACATCGAGTACAAAATCTTGGAAAATATTAGTCCAACAAAGGAGGAATACAAGGAAAACACACACTATCAAATAGGCAAGTCAATTTCATTTTAAAATTTGTATTTTATGACATATTTTTACCATAATATACATTACTATAATAATAATATACATTTATACTATAAGTCTATACTGACCCTTGCGAGATTGGGCCGCCTGTGGGTCATGTAAAAACATGCAGTATTTTTTCAAGGGCATGTGTATTAAAATTCATATTATAAAAATAGAAATAAAATGTATCAGGATCCATGTGTAAAATTTATACTGCAAACCTTAACCTCAAACTTAAAAGCTGAATTTACTGTCTTGGCTAATACGTTAGTAGTAACTAACTAATTTTCTGATACTCATTATTGCTAAATGTCAGAAGCTTTGTGTAGGATGTTTATTATGTAACAAATTTAGTGTAATTTCTACAAGAGCGTAGTTAAATTACAATCATCGTTAGCGGTTTGGTGTTAGCTGTAAATGTCAAACTAAAGGTCTCTAATTATATGAGAAAGATACTGCACAATGCAGTATGCATGGGAAGTTCCATGCAAAGAAAGACCTTTCTGTATTT